AAAAGATAAGTGATGTGTTAACAGATAAACGGATCATTCCTTACTGAGCGATTAGCGCTCACCCTTTCATTGTTGATTGCTTTGCCGGTGGACTAGAAGCGAGGGATGCTAGAGACAGGCGGACTACACGTGAGGGGAGATGATTTATTATCATCTCGATATTTTTATCTTGATGTAAATATGTAATGATAATATCTATGAATACATTTGGAAGCTTCCACCCTATAATATGTTTTTATCTTGTAATTCTTTAAGTTTGTAAATTATAAGTTTAGATCCGCGTGAATTTATATGCATGTTTTGGATATATTATTATTCCTTATACAGATTTTTTTTTCTAAATACAAATCGTTCTCCAGACATGTTCCTCGGGATCGCATTGAGGGATATTCAGAGGATACCTGACTGGAGTGGGGTTTTACACTAAGTCTCTCAAAGGTTCTCGTGTTGACTTTATTTGTAACAAGCTTGGTGCATAAGACTTATATGCTCTAGCTTGAGGGGGAGTGTTGAAATGTAAAATAGGAAATAGAATTATTCTCTTTGTAATATAGGAAATAGAATTATTCTCTTTGTAATATAGGAAATAGAATTATTCTCTTTGTAATATAGGAAATAGAATTATAATAGGAATGTAACAATTTACTTCCTAGATTAGATTTTTGTTTTTGCTATAAATTTATTGTACATTTCATTATGAATACACAAGAAAATATTTCTCCACAAAGCCCATCATGGCTATATGAGACAAATACAGTTTCTCACATCCTCTCTCACACTCGGCATGTACGGTTAGGGGCTCCCACATAAATGGGCTTGGGTAAAACTCACCCTTCAAGCCCACCATGGATTTGACTATTTTTTACCATGGATCCAGCTGAAAACAACCAGATCAGTACACAATTGGTCAGATCCAGCCAGTCGTGCGTCATTTCAATGATTGTCGATGATAGCGGCAGTGATAGTCAGCAACCGACAGTCATCTTCAGTCAGTGGGGTGGGGTGTTTTGGGTGGTATTCATGTAAATAGTTTTCAGAATAAGATCATTATTGTCCAAACATTTAATTACTTAGGGGTAAAATTGTAACAAAATTAAGATTAATTTATGTAAAATGAGAGACATTTTTGTTCAAAAAATGAATTTATGTGGTTACAAAAGTCATTTTGCATAGTTGAGTTAATTATTATTTGACAGACATACGAGGATATTTGTGTTCGAAATGTTAATTAATTATGGGTAAAATGGGAACAAAAATAGGATTATCCCATTAATTTTAAAATAACACAATTTCAATCAGTAATCAGATTACCTCTAAAATTGTTTACAATAATTATTATTAGTATTAGAAAATTATCAAAATATTTTATTACTAACAACCGAGCAAGGTAATATCTAGATTAAAAAATTGGTTACCAAAATAATCTTTTATTACTGTTAACCAACGCGCCTCAAGGGCAAATAAATTTTACAGTATCTTTTACTGTACTAGATCAGAAGTAACTAATTAGACTAGTTTTTAATAAATACAAATTAATTTTTTTATCAAATATATTATTCAGAAGAAATGTAATAAATTATTTTACTTTTATCTTTAATGTTGTGTAACAGGCGAACAAAACACATTAAATAGTAATGTCTTATTATATGAGTTGTTTTAGTCGTGTGCACTAAAGTACAAGATAAATAAATTTTCGGCATGTTTGATTTGTGATTAAAAATAATTTTTAAAAACTAAAATACAATTTAAAATTCTGAATTGTATTTTAATATTTTAAAAATATATCTCATATATAATTTAAATTTTTTTAGATTAAAAGCCGTGGAAAACTAGGGCTGAAAAAAAAAAAAACCGAATCGAACAGTAAAACTGGTTTTTCAGATTAACCAGTTCGATTTCGATTTTCTAAAGAGTAATGCTATGAACACCGAATTTTTGTACCAAAAGACATGACAACCAATCAAACGTGACCACATTAAAGTTTTTCGTGAATGAACAGTCGTCTAATATTTATAAACGTCTGTCCATATTTAATGGACTCCCATTCATATTATATGGACGGACATCCATTTAAAATGGATAGGCATCCATCTCCCATCCAAACAATTTTAAAAAATTTTACATTCAATGGACAAGCTATTATTTATATTCATTTAATTTTTGTCATTCAACTTTTGTCCATATTTAAAGTAATCGGCCAAGCTTCATTAAATTTTTATCCATATTCAAAGTAATTGGGCAAATGTCATATTCTTAACTCAATTAGTATTCATAATGAATGCATTAAATAAATTTAAATTTTAAAATTTGTTAATATTAAAAGATGGACGTCGATCCTCTTTTGAGGGTGAGCGTCCATAAACAATTTAAGCTAAATTTTTTTAGTTTAAATTATGAACGGGTATCCATTTTAAATAAATGACCATCTATATAATATAAATGAGAATCTATTTTAAACGAACGATTGTTCAATAATAATAGATAATCATCTATATTTGATGAATGACTATTTATTCGTGAAATATTTATTAATGTAATACATAACTCGTTTGATTAGGTGAATACATCGAGGCATTTTTCTTTTAAAAAATAATCAAACCAAATTTTTGGTTCAATTAACTGTTTAAGGGCAATATTAAACCCGTTAATCAAAACCGGTTTTAAAAAAAAATTAAAAAACATTCCTCCTTCTTTTTCCTTACTGTTTCTTGGCCCCACTTTTTCTTGGGTATTGGGCACGCAGACTACAGTATGCTTCTCCACACATTTTCTTACGTCTGCTTCTCCACTCAATTATTTTTCTTTTCGTCTTCTTCTCCTTTCACTACTTTCTCTTTCTTGTCGGACTTTTCAGTTTTTCATCTTCTCTATCTCCTTCACCGATTTTCTTTTTCTTTTTCGTCTTCTTTCTCTTCCTCACCTCCTCTTTTCCTTTTCTTTTTCGTCTTCTTCCCCTTTCTCCTTTCACTTTTCTGTATCTTTTCTTTTTTGTCTTCTCCATTTCTGCTCCTCCACTACTTTTCTGTTTGGATTTAGATAAGAGGCCAGAAGAGAATGCCATGATCGGGCTTCAGTGTTCTTCTTCTTCTTCGATGGTTTGATGTATTTTTAGCTTTACGGTTTGATTGGAAGCTTTGCGTCTGAGTTTTTATTTATGAGATGTCTCAATCGGAGACTAACTGAGCCTAAGAGTAATGGTACAGTCACATGAGATTACGCATCGAATTTGTACACTGAATGACGTGATAAAATCTTAATTGTTGTTTCATTATCAGTTAATATTAATTAACGGTCAGGATTTTACTATATCATTTGGTGCACAACTTTCAGTGACTCTATTATTTTCCATGAGCCTAATTATGTGCGTCTCGGTGTTGATTTGTTTGTTATGTAGGCGTTGGATTATGATTTGAGGTATTTGAAAACGACGACTGTGAGACGTCCATTTGTAGTCCTTCTTATTCTAAAAGTGTAACTTCAAATTTTATTAAAATCGGTTGACCGATAACTAAAAGCGATATTTTGGTTTGGTTAATAATCGGTTTAAAGGGTGGTTCGGTTAACAAGATTTTCATATTTGTGAAAATAACTTTTAATCGTTTTCTAAATTTACACTAGTTTCCTATTTACAATTTTATTTCTCTTTTGTATTTGTATAAAAAAAAAGTTCGAAGAAAATAAATAAAAATTTAACATTTCTTACTATTTAAAGTTAAAGTAAGAGATAAGAAATTTAAATTGTTAGCGCCGCAAAGCCGTTGATTTGAAATCCAAAGGTTCTGGTTTTTCTTAAAAAAAAGAAAAAAGAAAAAAAAAATACTGGACTCAAACCGACCCCTTTAAATTCGAAGCTCTTAAGATTTGAAGAAGTCAGAGCAGCACAGTGTCACTGACAGATGGAGTAAGAACTCAGCAAACTCTGCTACTCAATTACTGTACTACACCTGCTAATCGACTCTCAACCACACGATCTCCTCCTCACTAACGGCCCCGGAACTCCTCGGCTCCTCCCATTTGGTGCAGGGACAATTTCGGGATACACAAAAATTTTCCCGTCTTCGAGGAGGAGGCGAATGCGACTTGACATATTTGAAAAGGCCCCTTTGTATTGTATAGAAATAGAAGTCGACTGTTCCGTCCCGTCAAAACGATTCGCCGTTTGTTGGCCAGTACAAGTACAACCGTACGGTACACTGAATCTGAAATCTGGAATTTATTTCGACGGTGCACTAAATTATGAAACAAAAGTTTCCTTTAATTTTCCGATGCGGAGGAATTTGCATTCCCAAATTGTTGTATTCTTATTTATTAAATATTTATTTCTACTTATTTCATTTTTTATTTTCTCAATAATTAAAAAAATGGATAGTAATGTTATTTACTGTCAAATATAGGGTTAATTTATAATATTTAAAAGGTTGAGTTCGTTATTTTTTGTTGTTAATAAAAGTGGTCACGGGTCACAAAAGAGATTTATTCGATTATCAATTTCAGGGTTTTAGAGATTAGTTAGGATGTACGTAATCTGACTTAGACATTTAGATAAAAAAAATAAAAGGTTAATTTCTTTAATCTAAAAATATAAAAAAAAAATTACAAATTGAGAAATACTTAGACTTAATGATCTTATTTAAGGATAACTCTATTAATTTGATTGATTAAAAATAAGTACAATGTTGTAACGAGTATTTTTGTATTATTTTCATCCACGTTGATAATTCTTAAGTAACAATTTTAAAAAATGATTAAATATATTTTTCTAAATTATTAGATTAAAAATTTTGAAAATTCCATAATTGGGAATTTTAATCCAATAATTATTAAATGAACACATAGAAGAAATAAAATAAAATTATGTCTAAAATAAGAGGAAAGTGAATTTGGATTAATTAGTTTAATTAAGGTTAATTAATTAGGATTAGCATAAAATAATAATATAAAAAATAGAAAGAAGGGAAGCGACAGGACAAAAGCCATGAGTTGAGGTTTACCACAAATCCAGGCATCTCCATCTCTGTCTGGGCCCCATTTTTTCGGTGTTTGTGCTTTTGCTTTTGCCCTGCGTCCGTCCCACCGCTTTCTCCTTCGCCTTCCCCTTCGCCGTTTTCCCAATTAACCCTTTCCTATTTCAATTCTGTTTCCTTTTTCGATTTTCCCTTTCATAATTTTTTTAATTATTATTATTTTTTATTCACATTTTTAACTCGGGGTGAGATCTGATCCTGATCTGATCCCTCCCTCTGTCCTCTGCCATTTCACTATGATTTCGTTTTCAGTGCATTCAAAGCCCGTCTGATTTCCCTCTCTTTTTTTAATCCCGAGAGATAAGCTTTTTATTTTTGCTTTCACTTTGTCCATTGGTAAGTGTTAACAGAGTGGGAGGTCCGTTGTTAGTGGAAGATTAAGCGTGTTTTAGGTATGTAATTTGTGGCTTTTGTTTTTGTTTTTCTTTTGAAGTGGGATTAGGGTTGTTAGGTTATTAATGTCTGTCATGTTCTGATACGTGTTTTAATTGCTGCTGGTGTTTGTTTATTTGTCTTGTGTGTTTTTTCAGTTTTGGCATATCTGGAGGATTGATCCGTAGATTGTTGTTGTTATCTGGATCTGATCAGGGATTTTGTCATCATTTGAATCGATTGTGTTGTCAAGGTTTTATATTTTTTGGTGATAAAGTTTGGATTTTTATTTATTCGCTATTGGAAGGACAGTTTTGATATGTTTTCTCTTTAGAAGTTAAAGCTCTGAGCCAGTTAGTGAATGACTGGGAGAGATGATGATTTGATTAAACATAAAAATTGGGTTTGCATTGGAAAACGTATTCCCAATTTTTAACAAAAGGGGGCTGAGATATCTCTGGCTTGTTTAGTTTGGCTGGGGAAAGAAAAGAGGAGGGGTTTGATTGTGGTGATGAATTATTGTCAAACGTGGGGAAAGTTATATGTGGGCATTGGAAAATAATTTATGAGTGGTGGGCGGTAGCCATCGCTGTTATCACCGGATCATCCTTCTACCTCTTTGGGGTCTCCTGACAACAAATACTGTCTCTATTAGAGATACTGGTTTTTGTCTGAAATCTGTTGAATCTCACCTTTCTTCTACTGCTAAGACAAGGGATTTCTATTCTGGGGACCTTCATTTACATAGTTGTCATTGGCATGCCCTGCAGAAGAGAGTGGACACCTGTTTTCTTCGGGTGTAATGGAGTTGCAGAACAACAATCGCAGTTCCAGTTCCTTTGAAATCTCCAAAGGGTCTACCTTGATGCAGGAAAAGCATGGTAAGTCACAAAGGGTTCGCCACAAAAGCACGCAGTTTGAAGATAATCTTCTTCATGAAGAGAATACCAGGTTAATTTACATTAATGATCCTAGGAAAACCAATGACAAGTATGAGTTCACTGGGAATGAGATCACAACAAGCAAGTACACACTGATTACCTTCTTGCCCAAGAATATTTTCATTCAGTTCCATCGGGTAGCCTATTTATATTTTCTGGCAATTGCTGCTCTCAACCAGCTTCCCCCTCTTGCCGTCTTTGGGAGGACAGTGTCTCTTTTCCCCCTCCTGTTTGTGCTTTGTGTGACAGCTATTAAAGATGGCTATGAGGATTGGCGAAGACACAGATCAGACCAAAAAGAGAACAATCGGGAAGCTCTGGTGCTTCAAGGTGATCGGTTTCAGTTGAAAAAATGGAAAAAAATCCGGGCTGGTGAGGTCGTGAAAATCCTTTCTGATGAGACAATTCCATGTGACATTGTCTTGTTGAGCACTAGCGATCCTAGTGGGCTTGCTTACATTCAGACAATGAATTTGGATGGTGAGTCAAACTTGAAGACAAGGTATGCTAGGCAAGAAACGGTTTCTGCAGGACCTGAAGATCCTATATCAGGGCCGATCAGAGAAGATTCTGTATCAGGGCTGATCAGATGTGAGCAACCCAACAGGAATATTTATGAGTTCACGGCCAATATGGAGTTCAATGGGCAAAAGTTCTCCTTGAGCCAATCAAACATCGTTTTGCGTGGTTGTCAGCTGAAGAACACTGAATCGATCATCGGTGTTGTGGTATATGCAGGACAGGAAACAAAAGCAATGTTGAATAGTGCAGCATCTCCATCCAAGAGAAGCAGATTGGAAGGTTACATGAACAGGGAAACCCTGTGGTTGTCCGTTTTTCTTTTAGTTATGTGTATGGTGGTGGCCTGTGGGATGGGGCTATGGCTTCTACGCCACAAAGAGGAGCTTAACACTTTGCCTTATTACAGGAAAGTGTATTTCACATATGGGAAGGATAAATTTAAAAAGTACAAATATTATGGGATTCCCATGGAGACTTTTTTCTCCTTTTTGAGCTCTGTTATAGTGTTTCAGATAATGATACCAATTTCTCTGTACATTACAATGGAACTGGTTCGTTTGGGACAGTCATATTTCATGATTGAAGACAGGCACATGTATGACAGCAGCACTGGTTCAAGGTTTCAGTGTAGATCTTTGAATATAAATGAGGATTTGGGTCAAATACGATATGTATTTTCAGACAAAACTGGGACACTTACAGAAAACAAAATGGAATTTCGAAGAGCAAGTGTGTACGGGAACAATTACGGGAGTTCCTTGCTTGTGACCGATTCATTTGAAGGACAGGGAACTGCAGGTATGTCAACTTTGTAATTTGATGACTTTTTTCCTTTATGGTAGAGGCATGTTGCTCTCAAGGCTACGAGATCCAATATCAATAAACCAGTGCATGCTGGCAGAATAATTCGTCATGAAATTTTAGGTTCTTTATACTGTTTCTTATATGTCATTGAATGTATTGACTTACAAATGTTGTGAACACTGTGTATGATGCAGCCATTGAGTGATCAATGCCGGTTAAAATTTTATGTTCTTCTGATCTTACATGGCTATAGCAATTATTTTCTTTTATTTGTTTATATGTCATGTATACGCTTATGATATCATGTGTTCTTTAATGCTGTGGCTGTCTGTTTCCGTTGTTAGCATAGTAATACAATTTAACTACGATTACAAACTTTTTTGTAGTCCAATGTAGGGTAAAAAATGTCAGCTCTTTACTGGAATTAGAGCAGGAGATTCCTGTAACATGGTCTCTTTGTAGTCCAATCCATGGTTCAAGTTTCTGTTTGCTTGTTACCATCTGACTGTTGATTGGCATGTCTTGACGTTTCAATTCCTTCCAATTTTACTCATCTTATTTTGGACCAGTGACACCGAGTAATTGAGCTGTCAGTGGGAGCAACTAAGAAAGTTATTATAGTTGATTAGTAATTTCGTTAGTTTGAGCCTTCAAAATCATGCTTAGTAATGAAGACCATTGCACAAATTGCAATGAAAGGATAATTTAGACATTGTCCTTATCTTATTAGGAACAATCAATAAAAAGTAGAATGGATAAATATGTGCTTTATTAGCTTAGAATCAACCCTTACGAATGAAAAGTTTTCCTCCAAATGGAACCATTAGCTGGATGAGACCTGTGTTACTGAAAACGTATATTTACAAGATTATGAGGACTCTAGGAGATTGCGAGCTTACTTTGCCAATAATTTATTTTAGAATCTTTTGTATGATAAATACATTTGGTTAGTTCATATTGTGCCATTAAACATAAAACTGAAATATGTCTATCAAGAATTTTAACTCTTTTTCTTTTCAAAGCTCAATTTAGTGAAGGCTCGCTTCTGTTGTGTCAAATGCCCTCTGTTTGTGAAGGATAGGGTTGGGAACACATAATCACCGTGACTGATGTCATAGTGGGCCTTATTTTTAGAGTTTATTGGTAGAAGCATCTATATGAGGAAGCAAACCAATTTTTTTATTTATTTTTTTTTTTTTTTAAGCTCTTGCATCATTGAATTATCAATTTCGGGCTGTCCATTGGTTGTGAGTAACGAATGATATAAGCACCAGAACAACCTCAAAAGATAGTAATGGTGACACTTATGATTTATTTTGGCATTTAATTATTCATGGTTTGCTTTCAGGTTTTTGAGGTAATTGATATTGTACACCTTATCATTAAAGTGATATATTAGTTACTAAAAACAACAAAAATAACAGCAGTTAACCTAACAAGAAAAAAAATATCATAGTTTGGTAGAAGAACTACACCAATGTCTAAAAGGTAGTTTATGCCATATGGCTGGTAAACTTGTGGAGATAAACAATTACGAAAGCTAATCTATTTTGATTCAAGTCATTTTTTCTGATCTTCATTGATGACTGTAGTATTTATGATCTGTAAAGAACTTGAAAATTAGAAAACATAATAAATTTTTAATGTTCATAGTGAATCCTGTATTGATTGCGTGCAAAGAAAGCTACATCATGAAAATTGTATTTATTGTTTGTCATTTTTCTTTTGGTGACAATCTTGCTGCAAATTCTTCAGTCGATAAATTGAGGAGAATTTATTTTAATTAACTCTTTCATTATCTTTAGCAGCAAAAGCTGTTGGTAGAAGGAGATGGAAACTTAACTCGGAAATTGCCGTTGATTATGAATTAATGGAGTTGTTGACCAAAGACTTAGCTGGTGATGAACGAATTGCTGCACATGAGTTTTTCCTTACACTGGCCGCATGTAATACTGTGATCCCAATTCCTAGTTCTGGAAGATCTTCCAGTTTCACCGGAAGCGAATCACTTGATAATGATAATGTAGAAACTATTAATTATCAGGGTGAATCTCCAGATGAGCAAGCGCTAGTTTCTGCAGCCTCAGCATATGGATACACTCTCTTTGAGCGCACATCTGGCCACATTGGGATTGAGATCAATGATAAGAGATTAAGGTAGATGGTTTCTCACTTTAGCTTTTCTTTCAATTCTCTGTCCTGAATTTCATCACCACCCATCCTACCTAGTTATTTTCCTGTGGTTGTAAAACTGAGTAATGTTTCTGCTACTCATTTCTGTTGTTAGCTCTAATACAACATTTTATGAACATTGTAGTTTTCAGTATTTGAATAAAAGCTTCAAATGATTATCTTTTATGTTCAATATAGGTTTGATGTGTTGGGATTGCATGAATTCGATAGCGTTCGCAAAAGAATGTCAGTCGTTGTCAGATTTCCTGACAATAGTGTGAAGGTGTTGGTGAAGGGTGCTGATAATTCAATGTTCGGTATATTAGCTAAAGATTCTGAGAGGAATGACCTTGTAAGGCATGCAACTGAGAGCCATCTGACTGAATATTCATCACAGGGCTTACGCACTCTTGTCGTTGCTGCAAGGGATCTTACTGATGCAGAACTTGAGCAGTGGCAGCGCATGTATGAAGATGCAAGCACCTCTTTAGCCGATAGAGCTCAAAAACTTCGCCAAACGGCATTGCTTATTGAATCCAATTTAAATTTACTTGGGGCTACTGGAATTGAGGACAAGCTACAGGATGGTGTACCAGAAGCAATTGAGGCCCTTCGGCAAGCGGGAATTAAGGTCTGGGTTCTGACTGGAGATAAACAAGAGACAGCAATTTCAATTGGTCTTTCTTGCAAACTTCTGTCCACAGATATGCAGCAAATAATTATAAATGGTAATTCTGAGGAGGAATGCAAAAATCTTTTAGCTGCTGAAAAAGCTAAATATGGTGTGAAATCATCCAATGGAAAAAAAAATAGTTCGAAATCAAAAGAGAATACTGAAAACAACCATCTTGAGATTCCGAATGATACGAAGTCTTCCAATGTGCCAGAAGGGTGTTCTGGGAAGGATGAAGTGAATGCATCATTGGCACTCATAATTGATGGAAATAGTTTGGTGTATATTCTGGAGAAGGATTTGGAGACAGATGTATGAATCCTTCTATCCTTTTCTATTTGTTACTCCACTTAAATGTTGTACTACATTAACTTTGTTCTATCAGTTTACTTTTCTTAAATGTTAAAGTTATGCTTTGGTACATAATGCAGTTGAATTAGCTTCCATAGTCTATGAACTTGTTTAACTCCTTGATATTTACTTGATAATTCATTTATGTTTCAACAGCTTTTTGACCTTGCGACTTCCTGTCAAGTTGTGCTATGCTGTCGGGTTGCACCATTGCAGAAAGCTGGAATTGTTGATCTAATCAAGAGCCGAACTGATGATATGACACTGGCCATAGGTGATGGTGAGTTTTCTTGCGGACAATTAACTTAGCTGCTGGGGAGGGGGGATTCAGTTCAGCTTGGGATGATCTGCTCCGGCAAGCTTGTTATATTTCTGTGCTTACACATCAAACAAATATTTATTGTCATGTTTTGATTTTTCTGAAATAGTTGTGATGTTCATAAGCATGTATCATTGCACACACAATTGCTTTTGTCCAGGAAGCTGTTATTCTTGCTTTTACCTGACCAATGGCATTTTTATAGGGGCCAATGATGTTTCTATGATCCAAATGGCGGATGTTGGTGTTGGAATATGTGGTCAGGAAGGGCGTCAAGCAGTGATGGCATCAGACTTTGCAATGGGGCAGTTTCGGTTTCTGAAAAGATTACTCTTGGTGCATGGACACTGGAATTATCAGCGTGTGGGCTATTTAATTCTATACAACTTCTACCGTAATGCTGTTTTTGTATTGATGCTATTCTGGTATGCATAGTTTCTTTAATGTGAGCATTTATATTTTCTTCAAACTTCTATGTTTAACATATTTTTTATTATTGTCTTTGGTGGGATATATTTTGATTTCGGGTAGTTAACTTCTTTATGTTTTGGTCTTCTTTTACCGCCAAGCATTAATCATTGAACCACAAGAAACTTAAAAAATATTGTGAATTTCCTTTTTCAGTTACAAATAAACATAGCTGTTGAATTCCTTATGAGCAAGCACTTCCCTCCTTTGTTAAATGACAAATAATGCATTATAAATGGATAAGTCTTTGAATAGGATATTGTGAATGGATATCTGGATGATTTAAAGCTTTGTCAACTTTTGGCCCATATATCTGATTGATGTGGGATGTTAGAGAAAATTGGAAGTAGCTACTTGTTCTTTTGGCTGCTTTTGAGGTCTTGCATCGTAAACAAAAAATGTGGCAGTTTCAGTACTAGGGGTTTGTTTCTCCTATTATCTTATATCATGAAGCACTTCTGAAGTTGTGGTTTATTATTAACATGCTTTCATTTTTCTGTAGGTACATTTTGTGCACAGCTTTTTCGACTACTTCTGCATTAACAGATTGGAGTAGTGTATTTTATTCTGTTATATATACATCTGTGCCCACTATTTTTGTCGGTATTCTGGACAAAGACTTAAGTCATAGGACATTGTTACAGTATCCAAAACTTTATGGTGCGGGGCATAGACAGGAGGCATATAATATGCATCTCTTCTGGATCACTATGTGTGACACACTATGGCAGAGTCTTGTTCTCTTCTATATTCCTTTGTACGTTTACAAGGAGAGCACAATTGATATCTGGAGCATGGGCAGTTTGTGGACATTAGCCGTAGTCATCCTTGTTAGTATACACCTGGCTATGGATATACAGCGTTGGATATTTGTTACTCATGCGGCGGTATGGGGATCTATAGTTATTACATACGCCTGCATGGTGGTACTGGATTCTGTCCCTATTTTACCCAACTACTGGTTAGTTTTGCTGATGTCTAGTAGTATATGTTTCATTGTCTTTCTTATTCTAGTTCTATAGACTAAGTGAATACACTTTAATGTTTTTGGCAGGACAATCTACAATCTGGCTAAGTCACCAACCTATTGGCTCACCATTTTGCTTATTATAATTGTTGCATTGCTCCCTCGTTTTCTTTTCAAAGCTGTACATCAACATTTTTGGCCTTCAGATATCCAGATAGCCAGAGAAGCTGAGGTACTAAGAAAACAAGCTAATTATTTGAGTTCAAAACCAAATCAGGATTCCAGTTAGCATGTGCTTTACCTCTCTTGTTGAACCCATCTTGAGATGGCTTTCCATGAGTTCATGCTTGATATGGCTCTCCGACGGCATCTAGTTGTAAAGTTCTGTGGTAAGCGCTTGTTTTATTTCCCTTATTCTATCAATTGTACATACTTATATTATGAAGTTAGTTGTAACTGATAATACCTTGTAATTATTTACTCGGGATGTAATAGTTATTCAATATAATGTAAGTGATGTTATGTGGTTGGCATTCCTCAGATGAGTTCCAAAAAAGCTGATTTTGCACCAGTAATCGAAAGAAATGGTTGGCATTGAGACAACAGAGCAGAGAGTTATCGATTATTGGATTGTCAGGGCAAGTGAGACGATTAAAGCCAATGAGAGTGGTTCTGGTGTATTGAAATAGCCAGTTGGATGATTGAAATCGGGAAGGTTGGAAGATGCGAAGCCAGGAGTGGAGCTTTTCAACTTCGGTTGATTCTTTTGAGTGTTGAGGATTTGGCAGTGTGTAAGGATTTGATCACAATATTAGTAGCCTGAAATGGCTAAGATGGACAGAAAATATAATTCCCTAGTATATAGTAGTTTGTGTAAAGTTCATCAGGTTGACACTGAAAAATATTAGGAAAAAGAAAAAAAAAATTGTTGACAGAAATACAGGTCATTTCATTCAATTTCATTTGTCTTGACCAAATCTTGCAACTTCACCTATGGAGGCCGATAACGATCATGAAGGGCATATTTGGATTTCTTTTAAGATGAGTGATGTCTAGTACATAAATATATGTTCACAGAAGAGGTTAATGTTTGGCCATTAATGGCGTCCATTGAATTGGCTCTCTATAAGTTTGTTTAATCAAATCAAACATTTATAGCTTGTTTTTACCTTTGTACCAGAGACTCAGAGAGGCACAAATACAGCTGCCATATTTAAGACCAACAATATTTGAATCAAAGTGGCAATCATGGTGCTTTGTATTTGCTTGATTCAATCAATTTTTGGGGCAGGCCCTATTGAATTAATGTTCGTACATACAGTACAGGTGTAGTAAAGCCTCTGGATTTATGTTTGAAGGATTCTCATCTTTTTTCTTTTAAAAAAAAAAAGAGGGATAAGCCCTCCAACCACTAACAAGTTTTTGTACAATTCAATCTGTAAACTGTACTATCTTTTTTTCTCTTTTTTTTTTTTTTTTTTGCGGTAACCGAGATATCGAGCCAGTTTACGTATATATCAACTAACTCGATGTATTAAACACTCTATAACCCAAAGACCAAATAAGTCACTATATTATTGTGGTAGGTGATCTCAATATTTAAACCCAAACTCTACGGTCTTTGAAAAGCCAGAGACAAATAGTTTTTCTAGAGTGGGACATAACAAACCCCAAACTTGTGATTGGGAACCAAATTACATGTTTAACAGTTCGATCAATCTTTTTTTTTTTCAATCAAGATGTTTGACCAATTTATGTACATTTCGATTAATTCTCAAGACGAGACTTATACAGTAATTCACTGTTGGTCCGTCATAGCTCCTAACTTAAATCGCGGATATTTAAATGGGAAATCAACACTCACGATTGGGAATACAGCCTGATTAAATCCAATATGTAGTTATAACATAGTTTTATGTGTATAGTTGATTCAAGGAGATGACCACAAGAATGTGAACACGTTTTATTTTCCAATCATTCATATAAATTATAAAATAAATAGTAGTAGTAATAAAGAAACATAATTACAAATAAGGTGCACATGAAAAATAATAGATTTATCTTTTAAATAATCATCGAAAATCAATATATTGATCTGATAATATTATTAAACCAATACGAAATCGTGAAGTACCAAATTATTTTATTTTATTTTCAACCATCAATAAAATGTTCACATGGGTATTATGACTAAAGGAATTTAGTATGCTCATAATAAGATGATTTATACTTTAAATAAAATTGAAGAAATATAAATAAATAAATAAATTTATGATACAATTCTTTTTTATATATTCAAATTATTTTATATAATTATTAAATTGTATTGATAAAAAAATTATATTACAATAAAGCTTATATATAATATAATATTTATTTAATTAATAGGACAAGCTGTATAAAAATACTATACAACCTACGTAACCCTAACTAACTAGATGTTGTCGTCTTCTTCTAGCCTAGATTGCCCCTCGATTTTTCTTTTATTACGGAAGAATCAACGTCTCAAGTTAGTATAATCAAGGTCATTATTGTCCTTCGAAAAATCGTTGTGTCTGAAACGGATAAGAAACGGAGACCAATGAACTCAACTTTATTTTTTAATAGGTCCCAATCTTGATGCTGACAATGCAGAAAATGACGTCATCCTAGCTACGTCATCCTTTCGTAACCTGTACGGCTAAACACTTGCTCAAACGCGCGTGGAATCACGGTTTGGTGATATTTCTGCCCACCTAACACTTTTCTTAGTGGATTGGAAGATATGTTAATTACTTAGCCCCCCTAAATGTTTATCTAATATCATTGATATCCCTATATATACAAGACAAACTTTCACCATTTTCTCTTGCTTTTGCCTAGAATTAAACACATGCTTTTGTTCTTAAATTGTCATTGGCTTCCTCATTGTTAGATAAATTTAGTCAAATTGAATTATATTTGACTTTACCAAAAATATATAGGTTGCCTCTTGATATCAGTAAAAATCACCTAAAGCATCTTATACTATGAGCAATGCTATGTTAACAACCGCCCTCACAAATCTCTCTTACAAACCTAACGTGTCAACAGATTAGTGTTGTCATGTCATCTCTCACCCAACCCAAGACATCCAAGCACTACGGTAAACAAACGGTAGTTCCTAGAGAAGGAACAACCATCCCCTACTAAGGAACGACTATTCCTTGAGGGAACATGGTTCTGTTCTGTTTCTTCTCTTCTTCTTCTTCTTATCTCTTCTGTTCTGTTTCTTCTTCTTCTTGTCCAAATCATTTCCCGTTGGTGGAGCTGCCATGGCAGTGACAGGTCAGGGGCCACATTGGCGTTGTGAGAGGGAGTCGTTGGTGTAGCTTTATTCCTTATACTATAAGAAAAATCAATAAAAAAACTTTAATAGAAAAAAAGTCTCAAGATTATCTAAAAAATTATGGAGAATGTTCTTCATTTTAAAGAAACAATCAATATATATATAGTAAATTTCTAGTATGAATGTCTTTTAAGTTTTTAACATGTGGACAAATGGTTAGCAACTAGTCTCTTACTCCACCCTCGGGTAGCTCAAGTAATAGGACAAGAGCTAAGATGTGTGGTTAAGACGCACTGTCCTATATTTGAATCCCCACTCCCTAAATTTAAATAGGTAATCATGGCGATGAGATGCTTTATTAATCACCTATAGGAATTAGTCTAAGATGCATGCAAACATGTCCATACACCATGTTTCAAATAATTAAAAAAAAAAAAAAAAGTCTGAGTTTTTAACGTGTGGACAAATGATTAGTAACTAGTCTCTTGCTCCACCCTCAGGTAGCTCAAGTGATAGGACAAGCGTTGGAATGTGTGGTTAAGACGCACTATCCTATATTTGAATCCCCATGGCTCCCTAAATGTAAGCAGGTAATCATGACGATGAGATGCTTTATTAATCACCTATAGGAATTAGTCTAAGATGCATGCAAACATGTCCGGACACCATGTTTCAAATAAAAAAAAAAAAAAAAAAAAGTCTTTTGCTTCAAAAAATGTAAAATGAAAACCGGAGGCTAGCTACTCACATTTATTTCATATGTTAAAAACTTTAAAATATCTGCACATCAAAACTAATCATACGGAAATTTTGACTCAAATTTAATATGTTATCGATATTTTTTACGATATGGATATCCATAGTAAATTTATAGCATGAAATAATTTATGTTCAATGAAAGAAGTAATCAATCCAATATATTCATTAATATTATACAATAAATTAGGAATACTTTTTTTTTTTTTTAAGACAAGGGTACAAAACTTATAGGGGTGTCAGATATATATTCCAAAACTTATAGGGGTTACTTAATTCGTGGAAAAAAAATAATAAAAATTATCTGAAAGTAGAGTGGAACCAGCGCGTGGATGGTTGGATGATAAATAGCTTATAAAGTAATGGAATTTATCTTTGAAGGTTCCCTCACTGGCCCCTGGTCTCTTTCTCAAATATAAAGGCCGCCCAATTTTCTTGTTCCATTTCCATCTACCACCAGAGATAATGGAGTCTTCCTCTTGGCCTGATCATCTTCCTTCAGATCGACGGAGAGCCATTGATGAGCTCGTTAAAGGTCGAGATCTCACCCTTAAGCTTCGCGATCTCGTTCATAGAAACAACAACAACAATAATAATACTAATGCTGCAATCTCATCACTCAATCAAGATCTTGTTCTCAACATACTCAAGTCTTTCACCAACTGTCTCTCCATTTTGAAGAGAAGTTATGGTGAGTCTGATGAAGTCTCTCAAGTTCCAACTGATCCTACCCACTTCACCTGGGACGCTGATGTTGCTGTCAAGTCTGAGGATTCAGAGGGAAGTAGTAAAACTACTTCAACAATCAAAGATCGGAGAGGATGCTACAAGAGAAGGTAATAATTATAATAATAATAATTCTACCTTTTTTATAAATAAAAAAAAAAAAAAAAGTCTTTTAAGGTTAGTTTAGATAAAGGGTTGTTTTTGAAACTTTTTAGATTAGTATTTTGAGTGATTAACCAATAATGTTTAGTGAAAATGTATTTATTAATAGTTTTTTAGGGTTAGTTTAGTGATGTTCAAGAGAGAAAGAGATGTTTTTGGAATTTTCTAGATTAGTATTTTGAGTGATTAATTAACCATTGATTAATGAAGATATATATAAATATATTATGCTTTTGATTAATTGTTTAATTCAGGAGTGTTTAATTACTAATCTTAACACTAATTAATTGATGTTCCTTTTGGAATTCACTTGAATTAATCACTAATTCACTATATTTCCCATTTCTTGATTGCAGAAAGTGTTCTGATTTTATTACCAAAGAGACCTCTACCCTGACGGACGATGGCCATGCCTGGAGAAAATATGGACAGAAACTGATTCTCAATGCCAAATACCCAAGGTATGATATCAAAAGTCAGTCAGAAAAGATGATTTGAAATAATCTAGCTAGATCTTTAACCTAATTTGAAGTTTTGATCCATTTTCTGTGTGCAGGAACTATTTTAGGTGCACCCACAAGCATGACCAAGGTTGCCAGGCTACAAAGCAGGTCCAACAAATTGAAGAGAATCCTCCATTGTACCGTTCAATATATTATGGTCATCATACATGCAAGAATTTGCTCAAGGCTTCTCAGTTTCTTTTGGATTCTACTTCAAAGGATCAATCTTCAATGATCAGCTTTGGTAATATCCCCATCGCAGATAAACAAAACCACCCATTTTTCTCTTCCTTTTCCTCATCAGTGAAACAGGAATACAGGGATGAGTTACCACCTAGTGATCATCATAATGACCCCTCATCATCGTCCGATCATCATTATCTCTTGTCACCTCATGATGATCAACTTACAACATTGTTGTCATCGGATCGTGGGGAGGTGATTTCTGGGGGTAATTCTTCATGTTCAAGTTTGGACATGGAAGTCATGGCGGTGGAATCTGTCAACTTTGATGATGATATTTTGCAATATGTCTTTTAATATATATGCCCAGTTCCCTTGTAATATGTTCTTGTAGGAAAAACTTTATTAAATTTGCTCTAGCTTCTTTTTATAAGACTCATAGTTTCTTCTGTAACTCCCCTCCTAATGTATAATATGAAAAATTTTAGCTTCTCCATTACTGTATCAGTACTGCTTTAGTGTCTCAACATGGAGAAAATGAATCCTAGCCATTTTTTTAAGATAAGGTTCTGATAAAGTTATGTGTAGTGTGCATTAAAGAACTCCTTGCTTGCTAAGTAATTATGTTGAACACTTTAGGAATAAAGGTTGCTGACGGTTAAGGTAGTCTTCTAGCATGGACCAAAAAACAGTATTTGAACAGGCTCTATGTAGCTTAACTGTTCGTTTGAGACACTTAGATATATTACTCAAGAGGTCTTAAGTTTGAATCTTCACGACTACTAATAATGGGTAGTCACTAGAGACTTATCTAGTCATTAATTTCAAGGCTTCAGGGACTAGTTGAGGTGCACGCAAGCTGGTTGGACACCCTCGGATACCATCTTGAAGAATCTATAGCCACCAATATGATTTGGGTTAAAGATAAGAACTGGGTTAGGGAAAATTAGACCAATTGCAGATATAGTATGCAATAAGAACTGGGTACTCACTGAAAGCTTATCTGGTCGTTAACTTCAGGGCTTCAGGGACTAGTTGAAGTGCACGCAAACTGGTTTGACACCCTCGGATACCATCTCGAAGAATCTATAACCACCAGTATGATTTGGGTTAAAGATAAGAACTGGGTTAGGTAAAGTTAGACCAATTGCAGATATAGTATGCATTAAATTAACTTATATCCATGTCACAATGAAGACAGTGGCCATAGATAATTTGCAAGTTACTCAAATATTATATATAACCAAGTTCAACTTTGCACTAAATATGAAGTTGACATTAACCCATATTCTTGTATCTTAAACCCTAATTATTTGGCCTAATGAAACACATGTTTATTTATTTATTAATTATAGCTTGAGTAATGGACAAAACCATATCCCATATCAATTCAGAGAATCCCATCCTCTTTTGAGTCTTGTCTGTTAATTTCCTTTAGGAGAGCAAAAGATTAAACATCCTGATAAGGATCTTAATTAGGTGGCTAAAAGAAAGGATTTATAAGATGGATGATGAAAAAAATGTTGATTCTTCAAGCGTTTACGTGGGGCAAACGCTGAAGAAAAGCACACAAAAAATCTAAGAATGATCTAAATTTACCTATGAGGATGCCCCCACAGCACATGAAAACGAACAATGTCTTTGTAACTTCTTGGACGCTGCATGCTTTTGAAAGATAGAGAAAGAAGGAAGTATGCTCAAGCACAGTGAACCGATCGACCACTCACTTTCAAATCATCAATCAACTTTATAAAGTTTATTCACTTGGAAAATTTTGGCCCTCTTGAACGTGAGATCAGCAAGGATTCAAACATCCATTTACGCCTTCCCATGATCTTCTTTCCACATTCAAAATTCAATGTTTCAACCCTCGTGGATTGAGATAAATGGGGTCCTCTTTCTTTTTTGCAGAGGACAAGACCATGTAAATACAAAGCTATAACCTGTCAAATTTTATGATTGCTCCATGTCCCTCGATCAACTTTTGTTTTGGGTAATCTTGTTTGTTCATACTTTGTGGAAATTTGATCAGTACCTTTCAGTCAACACCAATCTTTTTCTTTTATAATCTATCCATGAACCAATGTATAAGGAAACTTACAGAGACAATTCATAAAATTTATTCCATTTAAATTTCACTCTTTTGATTACTCCTCTTTGGATTCATTCAGCTTTCTTAATTAACATATATAATATTCGAGTTTGGTGGTTGTTGAGCAATTTGTACTGCCCCCAACTTTCAATTATTTTATCTCATGTTGGTTTTAAGTACAATTCTCTGTCAGGTCATTTCTGCAGGTTGTTTAACTGGTTATATTTTGCAAGACACTGATTATAAAAATCATGCCAAAACAAAACGACGGTTGTGAGGTTTATCTTCCTGTAATAAGTTTGGTAGAGGTTAACAAACACACAAAGAACATCAATTGGTTGAATAAACACCAATTAACTTTCTCTTCCTATAATATTACATGTTTTATGTATATAAATGGTTGGCTTATGTTCCTGGTAATACTGACACCTTATGAGGATTGAGTAAGTAACAAGGTGGGCGGCTTCATTCTTGGTTGTCATTATCATATCCAATTACTGTTTGACCGTAGCTCCATACAAGCTTCTGACGTAGCATCCAAGTATGCCATCCATCCTTAGTTTTAGAGATTGATATTTTTGAGTATCCGGCCCGGCCCGGTCCATCTCAAAAAGGTCAGACTTTACCCGATATCTGTGAGCTTGGGCTTGGGTTTGGGCCTAATTTTAAGGCTTGACCTCGAGTATGGGTCGGGTCTGGGTATGTCTTCAGGCCCAGCTTGACAATTTTAGTATTAATTACATTAAATTATCCTTATATTGTATATTTAATTATAAGATTATCCTACATATATATAATCATTTTTCCTAAAGCCTACATGGATGGATGGATGCATTTCTAGAATTAAAAGTAAAAAAAAAAAAAAATTGAAATTTATTAATATTTAAAAATTCACATTATAAAAATGAGCGGGCTTGGGCTAGGCCTGAGGTTACAAAAAACCCGTCAGGCCGGGCTTAGGCTTTACCTATCATACTCCTGACGGGCCCGGGCCGGGCTTGGGCCTTTGTCATGAGGTCAGGCTTGGGTCTGGGCCAAGGGGTACCCAATCTCGGCCCAACCCATTGCCATCACTACTCGGTTTAGAGCCATCTAGAGCCTACCGGACTAATTGGTTTTATTTGTTCTGAGCGTGTGCGCTCTTGTCAAGCGTCTATGCCCGTTTTCTCTTTTCTGTTTGGTTTGAGCCTGCGAGCTCCGTTAGGGTGTCTGTGCCCATCTTTCCCCTTGGTTTAGAGCCTGCAATGCTCCCTTTTAGGCGTTTGTTTCTATCTTTTTGTCTAAAAAGATGGACACATTTGTTTTGATCTTCTTTAGACCTCCTTTGTACCATATAAATTATGGACATGGACGATCTACATACTTGAATTGGGTTAGTAACCTCACTCAAAACTTTTTTTTTAAACTCTTGGATTCATCCCTGATTATAGATCAATGTTCTAACAAAAATACTTGTTAATCGAGTCGTTTTATTTCATCTAACAAAAAAAACAACTGACTTAGCTTAATAATATACATGGATTCTAGATCTTAATCTCTGAAGTATTGTTACATCTGGTTTCATCTTTCAAGTGAGACTAAGCTTCATTTACTGAGAACTTGCCCACAAAATCACGAACATAAAGCCCCCAAACCAGAGCCACAGAGCACAAGGCCACCGGCAAAGGACCAAACATCCACAGCAACAAAGGAAAGCACATGCACAGAATCCGATTTCCAATGAAAGCCATCATGAAACCCTGCTCAAACACCATCTGTGTGTATGCAGGAAACGAGAACTCCTCAGGAGCGCTCACCAAAAAGTTAGCATCAATCAACTGCCCGAGTCCCAAGGCGCTGCAAAAGAAGCTAGCCAACAGAAAGAAAGACGTCGAGCCAAACTTTAGAGCAAAAATTCTCCCACCATTACCCGATTCTGGCTCCAAAATTACACTCTGGAAAATCCTGCTTGCGTTGTAGGTGTTGTTCGTTAGCGCTGCCAATGCTAACTCCACCAGAATCGCTATTGTTGCAGCTATAGTTGTCGTCAATAGTGTGTTTCTCAAGCTTTGAACCGCCAACATCGCCTTCTTATCATCACCCTAATCATCAAAATCTCATTATTAGCATCCGGGTTAAGATGAACATAATTAAGCTAGGGACTAACGATTAATTACCTCTTTCATGTTCATAAACCATTCTTTTCTTCTCAATGCTTCGATTCCGATCGTGATACGGGAGGGCTTGATCTTGAAATAACACCACAGATTTACATGGTAACCCACTATAAGGAAGAGGCTCAAGGGAACTAAAACACTATCCAAAAGAAGGATAACGGCCATCGTTGAGCAAAAATCAAGCGAGGATTTTTTAACAAAAGACAAGGCTATTTAATCACAAATGCCAACCGGGTTTGATCTTAAAGTGGAGGAATTCTGTTGAATCATGCTCATATACGCAATATAAAAGCAACTTCGTTTCTAAATTATTGGCCATTAGTGCGCTCTGTAAAGTAGTGGATTAGAAATAATGGACATTAAGATGATATAGTGGGAATTGTGGGAATGGGAACAATAAAGAGATGATGATAACTTTTTCATCAAAACGATAATATTTTGAGCCAATAACGCCATATTTTTGTCTATTTAATTACTGTTCTTCTTAATTTCCTTTTTTATTTGCTAAACTTTATTTGAAGGTGACACTGATGTACCTAACATATATAGATATCTTACACACAATTATTTAAGTAAAGTACTAAATCCTCAGGATCCATTGAATACTCTACTCGGGATTAATTGAATATCTTATAATCTAATGACCAAAGTAAGCCACAAATATGACGGTGATCACTTTGTGTGACTCAAACACAAAATGGTGCGTTTGGTTTAATATTTCTATCCCTATTCCCAATCATTTTCCCAAAATATTTGTTTGTTTAATTATTTAGGAAATACTATTAGATTTTTTAATTACTTTTAGATCCCTTAAGTTTATTAATTTCATTAAATACCCCTAGAAAAAAAGTTTAAAAATTAACAAAAACACCCCCACCCACCTATAGTTGCCAAATTCTAGTAACCACCATCGGTAGTAGCCGGAATCTGTCATAATGGCCTACAAACGATCTGAACTTGTCGATAATTCACCAATCTGGCCGTTGTTGACTGACAACGACGGCCATATCTTTGGCCGTTCCTTTTGCGGCCGTTGACGGCCAGATCGACGCACGTTTGATCAGATCCAACGGTCTGCGTCGGCGGTGGTGGTCGGAGTCTGGCACTGTGGGTGGGGTGGGGTGGGGTGTTTTTGTCATTTTACAAAATTTTTATATATTGGGGTGTTTAGTTAAATTAGCAAACTTATGAGGTTTTTTTTATAAATTTTTAAATTTTACCTCGTAATAATCACCCTATTCAACTATCCAATACTATTTCTAAAATCCTATCCAAAATAATAAACCAAACGCACCCAAAACCTTTGAGTAACCTAATGTCTTGTCATCCGACTATAAGCCAAGTGGTTTAAACCTATTATTTGATTTTTGAATTATATCCTAATTTCTTAAAAAAATTATATATTTTATTTACCTTTATAAGATGTATAATTGAAACGCATATTGGCTGCTGTTATAGACAAATACTACACAATAATGGTCAAGTTAAAACTTTATTTTAGAGAAGAATAAAAAGGGCCCTATTTTGTTTTAGTGAAGCCCATTTGAGATGGAAATGGGCCAAATTGAGCCCAATATTGTCGGCCCAGTAAAAGGGATTCCGTTATAACGTCACTATTACAGGACTTGGCGAGGAGTAATTGACTAATTGGTGATCGGCTAAACTAAAGTGGAAAATGAGCAACTTTACCAAAATTATTTTTGGGAGTGGAAAAGAGGAAGATGATCCGAGTGGGGTTTTACTTTTATTATTATTATCTTTTAGGGTTTTTAATTTTGTGTTTTTGTAATTCAGTCAGAAATGTTATTGGGTCGATTCTCTAGTACAGAAATGAAGCTTTTATTGCACAATCAAATGCTTTCTTCTTTCATGGCGGCAGTGAAGGCTTTTACGCTTCCAAAGTTGTTGATTCCTCTTCTTCATCTTCTTCTCCTGATAAGCCTGTCAAGGGCAAGTCCTTTATTAGGTCCATTTTAGTTCTTATTTTCATGATTTTTTTTGAAATGAATTTATTCCCTTTTTTTTTTTTTTTTTGATTAATTTGGGTGTTGTAACAAGTAATGATGTATGTTTAGTATGGTTCTACGAAAGTTTGGTGGGTTTTAGAGTTGTTTGATGGATCTTTAGATTTGATTAGCTTCAATTGGTGGGGTGATCTGCAACTTTTTTAATTAATTACATACTTTTTGAATCTAATCTATCACTAACCTGAAAAATGGTTGTTATGGTTAGAAATATTACTTAATTTCTTTAAAATTTATGACATCTTGTGGTTTATGTGAAGTGTGATTCAATTTGCCTGAGATAGCTTAACATGTAGCATACTTATATTTTTGTGTTCCTGGTATTGATGAAAGATGAGAAAAGTAATTTCATACTAATGTATTACTGCTAATTTTGGTGTGGATTCGTAGCTATGCTTACTCAGAGGAGATGGGAGAGGACTTTGATGAAGAGGGTGTTGCGTTGCTGGCTCCAGGATAAAAACCGGAGATATGCAAACTTACAAAGTGATGTGACAAAAAATGAATAGAATAGTGAATTTAATAAGTTTGATTTTTTGTTTCACTCTTCCATTTATTTTTTGACACCTTACTTTATATGGAAATCTTTGTAAGATTGTAAGTATAGTATTATTGTTTCCATTTCTCTGAACTAGGAATCATTGTTCAAAAGTTAGTTGTACATCCTGGAATTTCTCTGTAAATCTTGCCACTCAATGAAGGTTGCATGTACAAAAGCACGTGTGAATGTTATGTCAGTCGTGCTAGTCTTACAAAGAAGCCAGGCATACAAAGACAATCTCTACCTTCATCTTCATCATTTCTCTCTCTCTCTCTTTTTCCGTTTTTTCTTTGTTTTTTTCTTAGCTTTGTAAGCTTCTTTGCAAGGATAGACTTGTTCATGTTATGTACAATGAATTGAAAGAACAAAGAAAGGAGTTAAATATCAGTTTAAGTTTTATAGTTGAACTTTTATCTTCTGAGAATTACAAATTTAGGCAATAAAAAGAGGTTTTTTTTCTTTATCCTAATTTATTATTATATATGTGCTTGTGCTTTTTTGCTCATATAATTGTAGATGAGTTTAGCAGTGACATAGTCAGGATTTTTAGTCGGTCGGGTCAAAATATCAACTAGAAACAAAGTCTTAAATCTTATAACTTAGCCTTTCACACAATTTATACAAACCCAATAAAATTCAACTTATAAACCCATCAAATCTAGCTCAACATTCAAGTAATTAATCAATATATCAAAATTAAATCAAATCCTCAAATCTCTACAACATAGGGTGATTGTTTTAAAACTTGGATCGGAGGACAACACGTTTTATTGTCTGGGTCATGGGTCAACCAGTCCAACCGATTGGACCGACCAATTGGATCGATGACCTTAGGGATAATTTTATTTTTAAAAAATTACATATTAATCTCTTAAATTTTAATATATTACAAATTCCTTTAAAAAGGTTCATTAGTCCCTAAAATTTTTATTTAGTTCAAAAATGCCCCAAAAAATGACCAAATAATCCATAAACTTTTGGCATATCTCCAAAAACACCTTTATAAAATTACAAATTAACCTTTATAATTTTGAAATATTACAAAACCCCCCTAAGACCTGGACCGGACCGGCACCAGAGAAGCTTTCGGGTCCCAGTCCAATCCAGTTTTTAAAACAGAGCTTAGGGTTACTAAAATTTATCGAATTTAACTTAAAACAACAACTAATTAACTTATACTTCAACATAAACAAGATTAAATCAAAACATACATTAAAATCTAGGAATTTAATCTTCTAATTTCAAACTCATTTATTAAACTCAACAAAAACTCATTGTTTATGATCTTTCATCAATTAACAAAGATAAAAGAAAAGAATTTTAAGTAAAAAGAAAAAAAAAAATTGAGCATCATCTTATCCTATAATCCAAAGGAGTTGCTTTTCTTGACCGTCTAACAGAAGGAAAAAGATAATAAGAGAGACAACGATAAGAGATAAAGTAGAGAGAAACGTAAAAAAAAAATGTTAATTAATAATTCATTTTTTTAGGTCAAATTTAAGTTGGGTGAAAATTATAAATTCCATAAAACTAAAAACCTTTTTTAATTTTTAATTTTTTTTTTTAAAGTTTAGTGGAACTGTTTGTATGCGACTACAAGTCTGTGTGTTAATATCATGTTTAATTATAGAAAAGCTGATTTCATTGATCATATCGTCTAAGATGATATTAAATAACAACAAAGAAGAGCATATTTGACACCTTTTATTGAGAAAATATGACTTGAATAGTCAAATAACAATTTCGACTAAACATGAATAATCGTTCCTTATAGACGAACGATCGTTCCTTAAGAATAAACGATTATTCATTTATAAGAAATTATTTCTTATGAATGAACGGTTATGAGATTAGGTTGTAGGCATAATATTACTCATGACTTGAAACACTTTCTCAATTTTTTCTGTGATAATTTAGTCATCCCCATAACGATTTGTCATAGGCCCAATACAGTCACATAATAAGATATGAGTTCATTTGAATCCATTGAAGTTTTGAAAAAAAAAAAAAATTATATTATATAGTATTTACAATTTTGACCTATTTAAATTCATATTGACCTTTGACCCTACCAAAAAATTTATTAATTAACATTTTTTTAACTTTTCTCTCTCCTTCATTTCCTCTCATTTTCTATGCTACCTTTTTCTTATTTTGGTTGGATTATTCGGAAAAAAAAAAAGATCTTTTAGAGGATTTTTTTTTTTGTTTAAAAATATTTTCTGGTCTTTCTAAATTGACGAAAGATCACCAGTTATAGCTTTTTGTTGAGTTTAATAAATGGAATGAAATTAGAAGATTAAATTCCTAGATTTTGATGTGGGTCTTGATTTAATCTTGTTTATATTGAAACATGGGTTAATTAATTGTTGTTTTAAGTTGGGTTTGATAAATTTTAGTTAGTTATTGAGTTAATTTTGAATGATTTAAGAATTAATAAAACTCTAAGTTGTAGAGATTCGGGGATTTGATTTAATTTGGATATATTGGTCAATTGTTTGATATTTAGAATTGGATTTGATGAGTTTTTATTGGTTTATGACTTAAATTTTATCGAGTTAGTAGAAATTATTTGAAAAGTCTAAGTTATAAGATTTGGGACTTCGGTTTATAGTTGATGATTTTGATCAATTAAGTTGTAATTGTTGCGGGAAATGTAACGATGGCGGTGGGGATTTACAGTAGTAGGGAGGTGGAGGAGAATGTACTAGTGGTGGTGGGGATTTGTAATCATATGAGGTGGTGGGGGATGTACGGGTGGTGGTGGAGATTTTGAA